CAGCCAGATTCAGCAGAGATGGAGGCCCATTGGGTGTAGGGTTTGGGGGAGTTGGTTTGAAGCTTCAAGGTTTGACATATGGGTGGTTGTCAAAATTATGGTCCCTTTTTGGGTACCCTATATATTAGGGGCCGTATTATAATAGGGACCCAAAAAGGGACCATAATTTTGACAACCACCCATATATATATACATGTATATATGTAGAGATATGTGTGCGCCCGAGAATATATCCAGGGTACTGTTATGGGGTAATGAATGTTGGTGGCACAGGGTTTAACATTCGGGAAGACCAATATGACAATATGAGGCATTGACTAGGCTTTCTCACTCCCACTGAGCACCAGGCGCAGTTAATTTCCAGTTTATGGCCCCCCAAGCTACCCCACGTCCCTAAACCCTAAACCCTAAACTCTAAACCCTAAACCCTAAATCTCCATGCGGCTCCAAGTTCATACGCAACCTGCAAGTCTAAGAGAAATCCTCTCAGAGGAATCCTCACAGTCTGCTGAGCTTAACTCGTATGGATGAAGGCCTGTTCCAAACATAGTGGTTTGGATTTGTGTGACTTGTAGACCCTGCCTGCAACCCTTAGCAGTAAGCCAACGAGTTCACAAGCACCTAGCGACCCCGAATGCTACTGGTAATGAAGAATTTCCTGGCATCTTATTATCTAATATATAACTCCCAAGCCCAAGCCCCAAGCAATTTAAAGTCCGCAAAATCCTTACATACTGCAATGCTGCCATGTGAGCCCACGTGACTCCTTCGTAGGCAAAACCTGACATCTCTCTACATCCCCTACAATACTAGCAGCATGGAAGCCCAAAATGGCCCTCACAAACATATGGATTTCCATGCTAGTTTGGGGAGAGTATCTTTGTATAATCGACTTCCAGCCCATGGGTGCCTAAAAGCAAGCCCTGCATCCTGGTTGCTACTCTGGGGTCCGGACTGGGTGGCGGTGGTGTCGCCTCATATGGCCGGCAACAGCATGGTCGAAACAACCGTGCATCCTACTTTGTACATGGAGATGTATCACTACTGCGAGGGGTCCTATTGCTTGTGGCGCTTTGTTCGTACTTCCTACATCCCCACCCATGCCGTCTTGTCGTCCCTGAAACACGCGCATGGAGAATTACGTGTTTCGTGATGGATGGCATGGGGTTCATGTAGTCTCCCACCTTGCAGTTTTGCTGCTACGGGTCCTGGTCTAGAAGCAAAGCAATTTGAGAACCTTTTTCGTGTTCCACATGGGAGGTTTAGGCTTGAGGAATTCAGGTTTAGATTGGTTTAGGGCTACCAGACTCAGGTTCAGGACACGGCCACCACCGTAGAAAGTCTGTCAGGAGTGGGAAGGACATGAAGTTAAACTCCCAAGTCATTCCCAACTTTGGTGAATCTCGAGATGCTTCTGCGCTTCTTTGGTCGATCTTCAGCCCTCTATGCTTGAAAGGAGCTTTTGGGACGGCTTAGGATAAGCCAGTCTCATGTCTAAGGCAAACACAGCAAAATGTTCTGCAGATATATCCTACAGAGACGTGCTCCGACTTCTTAACTCCAAGCATGAACCCGAAACACTGACACTGCTGGCTGAATCTTGCAAACTCCAAAGCCTAAGAGCAAATGGGGACTATTCTCTGTATTCGGCACCATTTGAGCTGTAGTCTAGACTCCTTGTACACCCCCTTAATCCCCCCTTAGTACTCCCCTATATAATCCCCCGTATAACCCACTGTAAGGAGTTTAGACTGTAGCTCATTTAGGGTTAGGTCGTTATAATTTGCCCTCACCACACGCTTGCGCTTCGTAGTGGATGCGGGAGCGGATCGACTAGTTTTGAACACTCACGAGGTTGAAATCTTCAGCGCGTAACAACCCTGCAAAGCTTATTAACACTACAGCCGTCTAAACCCTCTGAACCCTGAAAAACCAATAGACACTCTTGATTCCTATACGCCTTTCAAACCCACAAACCATACCAAATCCTCTAACTTGTACAAGACCTACCTGTGCACTCCTATATCCACAAACCTTTTAACCCAAACCTCATGAAACCTAACCTTCCGTAAGCCCCTCAAAGCCCTGAACCCTATTAACCCTCTAAGACCTCTAGGGGCAACCACGGCGATCCTCTTGGTGTACCCTAACACCTGAAATCTAATCCCCGAACACTGCAAAGGCCCACAAGCCCTCTCATCCTTGAACCCTTGAATCCTACAAACCCCCAAAGCCTTCCAAACCCTGCAAGTCCTCTGAACCCTGAACCCTAATCCTTAGATCCCTTAAACCAAACTCCCATAAAGCCCTCTTATCCTGAAACCCTGAACTGCTTGGAGCTGGGCTGCAGAGCGATCTGGTGAATCTGTGACAGAAGCGCCGGAAGCCAAGGACAGAGACTCAGGCAGGGCCACCTAGCTGTTAGGGAATATATACATATATCGTGGGTTTAGGATTTAGGGTGTACGGTTCATAGGGAATAAGGGAATATCTGGCGGTTGTATAGGGATAGTGGAACCGAACATGGAAATGACGATGTTATGATAGGTACATATTTGCGCTATAGTATAGTAAGTAATAAGGGAATATGTTATGAGGATATAAACGGAATACAAGGGCTTATAAGACATTTAAAGAGATATATAGGGGATTACAGGGGCATATATGGGATATGTGGGTTGAGAGCTTTTAGAGTGTGAGGGCTTGTAGGTTTCAAGATTTAAGGTTTAGGTTCTAGGCTTAAAATGCATATATGCAATATACAGATATCTTAGCATGTGCATTTGCAAGGATCACAACGAATCTTGAGCCGTCGAACTCTGCACAACCAAGGCCCCAGATTCCTAACCACTATTTAGGGTTTAGGGTTTTAGGCTTTAGGCTTTTAGGGTTTAGGGTTCCCGAATCCCAAACTGCTCCAAACCTCGAACCGTGAGGGAACCCCGGCACACTCCATTCGGAGCTCTGAACCCCAACTTAAGCCACCCCAGCCCTCCAAATAAGGCCCAGTGACTGTCAATGTGACTCGTATAGGGCTAGGCTTTACCAAAACCCTCCATTTTTCCATTGTTCAATAGGTTCCGGGCCATTGCCATGGCCAAGAGCCCAAAGAGCTGTGTAGCCTGAGCACAAAAAAGCAGCCGAGCTTTTTCCTGGTGATTACATGAGGGTCTGGGATGCTATTCTAGGCTGTATGAACGCAGGGTAGCTCCCCGCAATACTTCGGTATATGTCCCGAATGTCCTTGTAGGAGCAAGTGCCGGCTGTGTATGAGCACTCATATAAAGCCACATACTTCAATTCCGGACCATCACTGTAGACCCTAAATCGAGCTGTACGATGCGGGTCCCTGAAAACTGGTATAGGTGTTAGATAAGAATCTAATATGAAGTGCTAGCGTCAAAATCACGGCCTTTGCCCTTTTGTCGCGATTGCTTTGCCGATTTTTGATATGTGTCCACGTTTCTGTAGGACGAAGGAAGTGTTCGCTCCTGCTTGCTTCCAAATGGAATGCCCTGGACAGCACGGTAGCTGCTCTTTTGTACGTACCCAGGGAGAATTCAAACTTTCGCAACTTACCCACAGGCTGAGCAATCAAGCTCCGGTGCAGAGTCCCAAGCCGGAATAACCCCAAAACGATGCCTTGAAGGAAGTCTGCTTAAGCACCAACCAAAAGAAATCACAGTTGCAGGGCAGTTTCATCAGGGCTTTGCATTGACGCGAAAACAATTTGTGATCATGCATGTGTTCAGCATAGAATAACCTGAAACCGTCATCTATAACAAATTTCTAGATGGCTCGCACGAAGTCACCACCTCAGTAAAGCCCTTCGTTTCCAAGACGTTGTCTCTTCTCACACATGCCATCCATAAAGCACACGACCTCACAGCCTCAACAACCCAAACCCTACTCTCACAGAAACATGTAACGCCATGCTCGGCCTTTTCCTTAGAAGCAGTCTTAGCCTTTTTGGGGCTGCATGTTTGGTGAGCAAACTATATCCTTCAGGTCCCAGACATCTATCCAAGAAGCACGGACAGTCATTGTAGACAAAAGAAAGGAGGGGCGATTCGGTCTTTTGAGCCAGTCGCTTGAAAATGGCAATGTCTCCGAGGTCAGCCCGAACTACGTAGATTGAACAGCAGGCTACGACCCTGGGGCGGACCCTGGGGTAGCTGGTCCCACTGCATTCAAGTAATTCATGTTCACAGCCTTGCTAGGTCATTGTACGCTTCCCAGCTGCCGCTTTGGAAGTGGTTAAAATACTACGTGCTGATGCTGGTCTTCTCCGTTTTTCATTTGTTCCCCACTCCAATACTCGAAGCCCTAATATTACATTGCCTTGGCCCCTAAACCTGATACATCCCTATCCTTCCGTAGTGCTTTTCAAACAATTAAGGCATCCCTCATGTTTTCCCAGACTATGGGTACCGCACCTATTTCTTGGAAACTCCCATATTATAGCCTTCTATACCCTGAACCCTAAACCATATAGCCTTCTACGCCCTAAACCCTGGAGCATCCACGTTGGAGGTGCAACTCCAACGTGAGGGTTTTCTCAATTCGCGGTTCTGGTGGGAGTGCCTCCAGGTCATATGGCGGGTCTCCCAAGAATCAGGGGTACCTTTTTTTGGGGCCCTATGATATAAGGATTAACATATCTTGGAGTATACATTGGGGTCCCCGTGTTTAGGGAAACTACCATGTGGGGACCCCATGGTGACAACAATTACTGCCACTCTTGCTTGAGCTCAAAATATTTTGTCCAGGGAACTCACGAGAAGGCTTGGGCAACACAGCAGAATCGAACAGGTGAAGGTCCATGATGATGGGGGAGCCCGGGGGCCACATAGTTAAGAATACCGGAGAACCAAGGGGAAAAGAGAACGGAAAATGGGAACTGGATTTGCGAATCAGTCATAGCAATTATTGTACGGTAGTGGCCTAGTTCATCAGAATTCAGTGGATCCGTTCGCAAGCTGGTATGAGCAAGACAACAAATTCAGAATTGCGGCTTGGGGCTTGGGGTATACTTTACATTATTGCTATCAGAACTGTGAGGGGGCACTGTTGTAATTTTACAGTCCTCAGCGGGCGCTTGTGCTGATGTTGAGTGAGTTTAGAAACGATTGTCCCTCTGAAGCCCTGCAACCCTGCATAAACGTGTGCTGACAGCGCAAAGCTGTACGACCCTTTTCCTGCGAGACATTCATCATGCTAATCAGTCCTGCACTGCACAACTACCCTATGGGCTGACAAATCAACATGCACTTGAAGCACTCATGAGCTGCAGTACAACATAAATGTGTAAACAACTGGAAGATGCAAATACTGTACATAAGTAGGGACTTCTACCTTTCAACTCGGGTTGTCTACGCTTACTATCTTAGTCTTGGCCTGAAGAAGTACTGCAACTA